TTCTATTGGCTGAAACATTCATCTGTCAGAAATTTTATCTGTCAAATTCATCTGTCAAAAATTTCAGCCAATAGAATTACTGGAAATCTATTCAAGGTCATTACGCCGTTACGCCGATACGCCGTTTTTAGGATAGTGTGGCTGCACCCTCAGGCGCTGTGCACAGTTTTAGAGGCCATAAGTGGGCGTGCTATGTGCGCAAACTAGTAACCTAACTAGTGCCCGATTCCGAAAACTGGAACCACGAAAACCAATAAAGAAAAAACAAAGTTTATAATCTGTATAATCTGTGGTAATACCTTGTATGTAATTTTAAAGGGAATATATCGAGAAACTATGGTTACGCTCGTTGAATTTGACACTTCATGTCAGTTTAATAATATATTTTCGTACTTTTCTGCTCAGGCGTAAAAGTGCTTTACTTTTTTGCCTAGGTGTTAAAATGACTTTTTTATATTGCCAATCACGTCGCTAAAATTAATACTTCTGTGACGTTTGAAAAAAAGGAATATTAATGAGATCGTCCAATATTAAAAAGGGATAAAACTTCAAAAAAGTAGGCGTTTTATATGAAAATCCTTTATTATTTTCAATTTTTTTTTCGTTTGCACAAAATTTTAAGCTTGATCTTTATTAAAAATAAATTCCCATTTTTCTAATAATGTTTGAGTAATGCCAACGAAATGTTACAAAAAAAACATATCTTGACAGAATATATATTACTAAAAAGTCGTGTTTGTATTAGATAACTGTATTTGCACTACATGGCAGGAGAGAAATAACATTTGCACTGCTATCTTTATGGTTTATTTTGTCAGTTTCTGTGCTTAGTGGTAATTAGTAAATTTAAGTGTTTTAATAATAAAAAAATACAGTTATGCTTGGTCCATATTATTTATAAGTTATAGATTCGTTATAATAAAGTAAGTAAAGTACATACAAATTTACACAGAACAATATTTTATTTTATAAATAGTATACGATTGAAAAAAAACAGCGTCACGGTGGTCTTTGAAATAAGTGTTTAGAACTTCTTTTATGTCAATAATAACTAGTGTATGAACTGAAAGTTTTACCTGCGGTTTTCGATAAGTTTTTGTACAAAAGAACCTTAAATTTTACTACAAAATTGTATTTTTATAATATATACCTTGTGCGTCTCGTAAGTGGCTCACCCCCTATAACTTTTTTATTTTTTCATAAAAAAACGATTTGGTTTGTTAGTATATGACATTAATTGGCGTATTCAATTGTTTTTGGTCACTTCCTAATTCGCCGGAAATGACAACAACGTTTGATTTTAAATGACACCCTCGACGGGTATTTTTCTACTTTGTTCGACAGAAAACGACACTCTTAATAGAATGACATATCATAAGTCAACTTTTGACATTTTGGCTTTAAAAAAAAATCGTATTTTGAATTTCAATATAGAGTGCCATGGATGTGTTAAAAACAGTAATGTAATTTTTAATCAACGAGCCTTTGAAAAAATATATTTGATCGCCTAATATTTTTCGTGTCTTTTCCTGGCCGGTTAAAAGATGCCCAAATCTTATTTTTAATCATATCTCAATTTTTTTCAAATAGGAAAAGGTTAGCTCATTAATATTTGGAAAAAGCATTTTTTACGAATAATTTGGTACCACACATTTGGTATTTCGAGTCAAATTGTCGTTATGAACCACATGTTACGATTTCAAATAAACCATATGCGAAAGTGTCAAAAGTTGACATATGATATGTCATTCTACTCAGGGTGTTACTTTCTACCGAATAAAGTAGAAATACACCGAGTGTGCCATGTAAAAATCAAAAGTTAAGTTCTTTAAGTTAATCTTTAAGTTGTGGTCATTTCCCGTCAAACAGGAAGTGACCAAAAACTATTGAATACGTCAATTAATCCTAATTTATGTCATATACTAACATACCAAATCTCGTTTTTTTATGCGAAAAAATAAAAAAGTTATAGGTGTGTGCTATTTTTGAGATGCACTCGGTGTTTATTTTTTTAGAGGATAAGAAAACAAGATTTGGTGTATTAGTATCTGACATAAATCGGGATTAATTGACGTATTCAATTGATATTCTGAATAGAATGACATATCATGTGTCAACTTTTATTATAAAAAACAAGAAAAAAGTATTTTACATTTCAATCTAGAGTGCCGTGGTTGGGTTAAATTCATTAATTTTTATTAAAAAAGCCTTGAAAAACTAGATTTGATCGTCTAATCCTTTTCGTGTTTTTTCTTGGCCGGTAAAAGATACCCAAATCGTATTTTTAATCTTAACTATTCTTTTTCAAATGGTACAAGGGTGGCTCATTGCACTGTGGCTCAAAAAACGAATATTTTGGTACCACATACTTGATATTTTGAGTATTTCGAGTCAAATTGTCTCTATATTGTCGTGGCACTCTATCCTCAATCATGTCAACTTTTGATATTTTCGCTTAGTATTTTAACTTTCAATCTAGAGTGCGAAATATTAACTAAAAATTAAAAAAAGGATAAATTGTTGAATAAGTTAGAATGCAACAAAATAAAAATAAATCAGTTCCAACATTATTCGTATTACCATCGTTATACATGTAGGTATTTTTTAAAAAAGGACAGGCATTTTATCATACCATTTTACACCTATTCTGATAATCGCAAAATACGCAAGCGAGTAATGACAATTTAAATTATTGTTGGCGAAATATGCTACTTTATATGTAAGCCCAATCGCGGGAAGGTTATTTTAATAATTGCGAAAAAAATATATTTATTTGTTGTTACTATACCGTTACTGAAGCACTAGTACCGGGACATATAAAATTTTAAATTTTTATTATATAAAAAATAAAATCTTTATTGCCAATAGTATAATATAGTGTGGCTATTGCTTTGTTTTATCAGTGCGTAAGATAAAAGATAACAAATTAATCAGACCTTATCAGCAACAATCCTTTCATAATTCCGCCAAGTTGTCTCAACACATTCTGATCACAAATATGGTAAGTTTTTTCAAAATAATTTTTGGAAACTTTCGCAAAAAAATCAAATTTTTAGTGTTATCCTTTTGAAAAACTACAATATGGCAAAAACACATTTAGTATTTATTGATTAATCCAACTGTAATTTTTATTTAATGCAATATTAGTTATTAAAATGAGCGTAACAGTGTCTATGACGGTTATTTTAATTAGTGTATAGACATTAAACAGAAATTTAAAAAAAAATTACAAATATCCACAGAATAGTTTACTCTAATAATTCTATATAATATAGTGGTGTGATACAAACTCCTATTGTTAAGGTATTAGTGCAATTTAAATTAAGTTTGTTGTACAGGGTGGGTCAAATTGGATGCTTTTAAAGGGAAACGCCCTTTTCTATAGGAGATAGACGAAAACTAACATCGGTGTCTGGAGCTCAATTTTTATCAAAAACATGATGGTGAAAGTCGCACATCGATATTTTTTTAACAAATCGCTGTAACTTTTTTGCTATGGAAAATTTTGTATTTTTATGAAAACATTTCCAAAGCACCTTTTTACGTAGAACAACGTAGTTTAAGTACAATTTTTTTAAAATTAATAATTTAAGAATTATCAACAGAAAATTTGATTTTTTATATGGGACACCCTGTATATTTGTAATTTATTGAAAATAATTTAAAATTACCTTTCCAAAAATATAACACACTTGATATTTTGCTCGATTCCTCTTCGAGATATAGGGTATATAAAAATTCGCCGGCTTTAAATAAGTAGGCTTTGAACGGCACCGGCTGTAATGCTAAAAAAAATCTAGCTGTGAGTGAATAATATTTGCTATGAAATATGAGAATTTTATAACAACTTAAAATATATTTAACCAACATCAACACATTTAAACTAAATCTAATAACAATAAAAATAAATAGCAAACCAAGGCATGAGATTTTGCTACAGGTGTTCGACATATCGACCGTTTTCTGTTATGGACAGACGGGGCAGTTTTTGAACATTTCCCGCGAAATTCATTAACTCAGTGGGTGTGAAAGATACCCTCTTATAACTGCTAAGTATGTTTAATTCTTGTCTAGATTATACGGACGAATAAGGAACCTTTATTCTTCCGTAAATATATCCATAGGATTAGATCTAAGTCAGGCGGCCTCGGCGGCCAACGGCTGGGATCTTGATTAGCTATCCAATTATTCTTGAAATTGGCTGCAAAAATTTGCTGATAACTTCAGCGTTCAGAGGCGGTGCGTCGTCTTGCTGGAAAAATATGTTTTCGAGTTCCATTAAGGGCTTATTATCAATAAGGGGTCCAAAGCCTACTAGTTAAAAGTGGCGAATTTTTAAAAGTTCTGTATTTCGAAGGGAATTATGACAAAATATGAAGTGTGCTATATTTTGGGAAAGGTAATTTAAAATTATTTTCGGTTAATTAAAAATATAGAGGGTGTCCCAAATAAAAAATCAATTGTTCTGCTGATAACTCATAAATTATTAATTTTAAAAAGATTATACTTAAACCATTAAATTCTACGTAAAAAGGTGCTTTGGAAACGTTTTCATAGAAATACAAAGTTTTCCATAGCAAAAAAGTTACAGCGATTTGCTAAAAATGCACATTTTTGAAAAACACCCCGTGACGCCGAAACGGTAACAGATATTGATGTGCGGTTTTCACCATCATGTTTTTGATGAAAATTGAGCTCCAGACACCGATATTAGTTTTTGTCTATTTCCTATAGAAAACGGTGTTTCCATTTAAAAGCGTCGAATTTGACCCACCCTGTACATTAGTGTTTCATAGTTATATTAACTAAAAAATTAAATAATCTCTCGAATAATCCCAAAATAAGAGCTTGTATAATATAGTTAGATATATATGTTGCTAAGATTAAAATTGCGGAAATTATAATTATGCTAAATTTGATGTGATGTTTATTAAAATGTGTTAGTTTTAATAAACTATTACAATGGTGTGGTTCCAAAATATACGTGTATAATATACATTACATACTTACATACTTAGTGCAGTATATTATACTACACTAAATAAATAAAACAAAGTCAAGTTACTCCGTTTAGAACTACTCAAGAATGTCTGGACCGATTTTTATCTCCGCCCCGAATAGCTGATTAATTATTAAAATATCGGAAAAATTAACGGAAAAAATTATACGGAAAATTTATTTTTAAAAAATTAGGTTTGGACTTTGAATAAGAAGACTAAGGAAGGAGCATATCAAAAATCTTAAGTACACCGCGATGGGCCTCAAATATGGCCGACTTAAATTCCGGTTTATCAGTGTCGTTCTAATTTTATTTAAAAAATGTAAAACTATGATGTAGGGTAGACGTAGGGTAGACTCAATAATTTGTTGTTTTATTTTACGTTGTGAATAAATGTTGGTAGTTATTAAAATTGTTATAAAAATATATAATTCTAATAAAAATAGATAAGTTATAATAAGTATTTATTAACACAAACATCCGATACGCTACTGAAGCAGGTAAGTCAAATTAACGTATCTAAATTCTTTGACATCTAATCTTTGACAAGTAATAAATAAAAGCTAAAATGCAAGAAAAATATATAATTTAGTTAATTTAAGTGAATTTCATAAATGATCGGTTTACTACACGTATGTATATTATATAGTCACTTACTAGCGGAAACGTTGTTCCATTATTTCACTCAATTTTTGCCGAAGATCTACCGCACGCTACACAACCAACTATTTTAGAGTCTTTTTCGATAAATCGCGATAGTGTCACTGTTAATTTAAGTTCTGCCATAATTTCCATCTAGATTTACTACCTTTATACAACTATCAGTAGAATAAATAATAAATAACATAAAATAAACTCATAAAGACTGACAAATCCAGTATATTATACTACACTAAATAAATAAAACAAAGTCAAGTTACTCCGTTTAGAACTACTCAAGAATGTCTGGACCGATTTTTATCTCCGCCCCGAATAGCTGATTAATTATTAAAATATCGGAAAAATTAACGGAAAAAATTATACGGAAAATTTATTATTAAAAAATTAGGTTTGGAACTATGCCATCTTTCCCAATTGACAGCTAACGTCGTGCATAGACGCATAGCTTGTTTGTAATAATTGATGTCCACTGTAAATCAGTGACATACTAGACATTATACAGGGTCTGGCAAAAGTGCGTCGGGCATCTGTAGCTCCTAGAATAAAAAAAACTTAGAACTTTTGTTTAAGTGCAAACCTAAAGTATGTACTAGATTGTATGTCAGGAAAATATTTTAACTTCTATAGGGTGGCTCAAAAAAGTGTGAGTGGATCGGAATTATTTTTTTTAAATGGAACACCCTGTATATTATTGCATTTTTGACTTTCTTTTAGATCATTTTACATAATCGTAAGATATGAGTAAATACATTTCGATAGTTTCAGAGATATTAATAAATAAAGGGTGTCCAAAATTCTACGTCAAATTTTCTAAACTATAAAATAATTTTTCTTTGTTTTTTTTTTAATGGAAATAATGGAAAATTTTTTTAATGGTTTCGCAGATATACGCAGTATTATTTGAGATGGCACTCTCAACGGTAAAATACTTTAGAAAAATCAATGTGTAGCTTTACAAAATTTTACTGTAGAGAGATATATGAAATATAAAATCGCGAATATCTGCAAAACCGTTAAAAATTTTGAAATACTCTTTTTATATACAGCGAATGTTAATTTTTTAATTCTCTATTTATTGAAAAAATAATATACAGGGTATTCCATTTAAAAAAAAAAACAAAAAAAAATTATTTGATATTTTAGAAAATTAGGCGTAGCATTTTGAACATCTTGTATGATTTACGATCATGATATTTATAGCCAAGTAAGTATAGACCATCTAAAATAAATACCTAATATAATTTTGATTTCAAGACAGTTCTTGTATTTTTACTAATTTTTTTAAGAAAGGCTGGAAAATTTATATTTTTATTTATTTATTAACCTCTGAAAATATCAAAATATATTTACTCATATCTTAGGATTATGTAAAGTGAGCCAAAAATGTAATAATATACAGGGTGTTCCTTTTAACAAAATGCATCCCGATCCACTCATACTTTTTCGAGGCACACTATATAATATTTTCCTGAAATACATCCTAGTACATACAGGTTTGCCCTTAAACAAAATTCCCAAGTTTTTTATTCTAGGAGCTACACATGCCCGACGCACTATTGCCGTACCCTGTATTTAACTTGTTCATCAGAATGATTCTGTAAGAAAAAGGATTTAGAATAATTATCAATAAAATTTAGTTACTACTGTATTAAGTGAAAAGTTTTTTCCATTATTTTTCAATCAATATTTCCATCCAGGTAATGGAGTATTCCTAAAATGCCTCCACGACTCTCAGCCCGCAAGTTCGTCCTAGCTTTCCTCGTGGTTATCGGAGTGACGGTCTTGGTGGGTACCAAGTACAACTTGTCTCATCTGGTCAACAAATCCGCACAACCGTTGGTTCAAGTGTTTAAAAATGAACTCGGAGCTCAAACCCAGAGACCAGAAGAACAAGAGGTAGGTTCTATATAGAGTGTCTGTGCTATTATTGTTTAATTTACATTTTTGTTTTTGTTTATTTTAAGGAATTTCTCGATAACAACATATTCGAGGAGCCGGAAAAAACAGTGAAACCTCCAGAAAGGCCGTGGTTCCTGCCTGATGGTACGATTTACCCTACGAAAAGTAAAGGACCTCCAAGACTGTTTCCTGATCAAGCCGATGGAGATAGGATTTATGATCAGTTGATGTACATGCCCGATGACTATCAAGGTAAGCATATTCACACTGATAACTAATGACAAACCGTTCAATCCTTTAATAGTATTACATACGAGTTTGTATTTTAAGATAAGATCCGTTATAAGTATATACCGGGTGCGTCTCAAAAGTGGCTTCCACCTAAAACTTTTTTATTTGTTCAGATAAAAAAAACGTGATTTGGTATGTTAGTATATGACATAAATTAGGATTGATTTACGTAGGTATTCAATTGTTTTCGGTCACTTCCTGTTTCACCGAAAATGACTAAAAAATTTTGATTTTTAAATGGCATCTCTGAATTTTTTGCTTTATCTGATAGAAAATGACACTCTGAGCATATCATATGTCAACTTTTGACATTTTCGCATATGTTTTTTTGCGACCGGTAACATGGGGTCCATAACGACCAAACATGGTACCAAATTATTCGGAAAAAAAGTCTGCCAAATATGCCAATATGCCAAAAACTTGAAATATGATTAGAAATACGATTTGGGCATCTCTTAACCGACCAGGACAAGACACTGAAAACATTAGACGATCAAATCTATTTTTCCAAGGTTTCTTGATTAAAAATTAATGTTTTTAACACAGTCATGGCACTCTAGATTGAAATTTAAAATACGCTGTTTTTAAGCGATATTTGAGGATGTAGTCATATGATAATGTCATTCTATTCAGAGTGTCATTTTCTATCGAATAAAGTAAAAAAATTCCGAGGGGTCATTTAAAAATCAAAATCAACACACGAAGCGACCGATAATAATTGAATACATCAATCAATCTTAATTTATGTCATATATTAACATACCAAATCTCGTTTTTTATCTGAAAAATTAAAAAAAGTTATAGGGGTGAGCCACTTTTAAGACGCACCCGGTATATATCGTAATATGTAATTACAAGTCCGGTAAATTAAGTTTTACAGTATGAGTGAGATATTTATTAAGAATTTCAAAACAAATACTGTAAAAGTTAATTGAGGCCAAATTTTATTGACGTACAATTTTTTTATTTCATACTGTTATATGTAGGGATAATAGTATATTGTTTTATTAGTGAGTAAAAATGATAATTCTTATGACGAGGCTATATCTTTAATGTTATAAGCGAGGCACAAAAAGTACAATACAACATTTTTTTAAAATGTCACAAATAAGCACAAAAATACTCATAAACACTTTTTCATAAGTATCCATATTTTTAATAATCCGTTTGTAATCTACTTTTATATTAACCAATTAACAAACATAACATATACAATTTTATATACTAATTAATTCTAATAAAATTAAATGATAAACATATTGCAATTAGATTCCTGCAGATTGAGTGTGAAAAGTTTTTTGTTCTTAAATATCTACTCTACATATTATATACGCGTGTTCAAATGTTAATTTTGTGGATCGCTCAAAACGAAACAAAATTGACCGTGGCAACAGGAAACGCCACAAAAAACCCATGCCTTGCTCACGAGTAGTTTTCAGGCGCTTTTAAGAATCTAAAGTAAGTCAAGACAAACCGAAGTAGGTCAAGACAACTAGAAATAAACCGAAATGCGACAAAGTTGGGTGTCGAAACGCGACCTTGGCCTGCTTCGAAGAATTCTCTGCACTATTGTAGAGCGTGTTTAAGGTTGTACACCCCAAAGCACCCAAGCGCCGCTACTGATTTCGCAGTATTAAAGAATCGCCCTTTTTTTACAGCACAAATATTATTAAAAAAGCAATCAAATGTTAATTATTTTGATGGTTCGTGTTAGATCGATGTTTATTCATCATTCACAATTCATCACCTTAAACGTCAGTTTTTTTGTGCCTCAAAGTTTCCTTTAATTAAGTAAAAAACTAAGAAATTACCTTTGCAGTTCGATAAACTTTGAAAGAACAAGATAAATGACCTGAAAACCTTTCCAGAAAACATAAACCAGGAAAATTCTTAGCGCAGTTATTTTGCAATTTAACAAAAACCTTCAAACAAAAATGCGGAGTTTTACTGTTTGCAGCTAGTAAACAGCATTTTCAGCATTTACCTGGCCTTTTTAGTGAGATATAAACTGGCAAACTTTTCCCGAGCTAGGTTTTCAACATTATTCTATGGCGATAAGGGAAGATGAGATAATATTATTGACCTAAATTCAGTCGACTATAAAAGCTTTTATGACGGCGGTTTTAGATATTTAAAAAAATGGGCGATTGAGGTTTTAAAAGCAAATAAAATCTTATTCAACCTGAAAGTACCTGATCTGTATTCTGGGTGTGCTTAATTCGATATTAGGAACGCTATTGGGATCTCGAAAACGGCAAGAGATACAGGGTGGCTTAATTTAGGGCAAGTGTTAAGGAAGTCAGTTCATCGACTTAAAATAAAATATATTTTAAGTCTATGGTTCAGTTTAATAATTGATCACACCCTTGGAATTTCTGAAAATATAAGAGTTAACTAGAATTTTTCGTCTCAGTTATTATTATATATCTCAGTTTTCGTAAGATATATCCTATCTAAGTTGTTACGCTGTACTTTATAAAATATATACTGCAAATTCAAAATCACGTTTATTATACATACCATCGCTATCTTCAAGCAATAAAACTAAATAAATCGTGTGTACACTGCACACATTCAATTACATTTATCTCTTTTTTAGTACAAACTAGTATTAGATAATTAAAGAGGAATCGCATAGATTTTATTGATCTGGACTAGAGATAACTAATAAATGTATTTAACGTTATTCAAGTCCTGACATAATATCATTTTAGATTTACACCTGTAATTTCTATTAAACCTATTAATATAAAAAAACAAGCAGAAAATAATTCAAAATACACTCTGAAAGGCTCGAGCACAACGAACCAAGGAAAAGATAAATTTGTCAAGAAATAGTCAAATATAATTTACAAAAAAGCAGCTGTTCTAAAATGGTTAACATGGCGCCTTTTCAATCCTTAATATATGATTATAATAATAGTTATTAGACTTCAGTCATTACTCTAATATTCAGTGTTATACAGGGTGAATCTTAAATAAGTGCAAATATTTTCAGGGCTGGTAAAATATCGATAAAAGAAACATATTTTTTCTTTACCGTTTTTCAAATAATTCCAAAATAACCGAGTTATTTTAGTTTGAAAATAAAAATATATATTTTTTGCTTAAGTTTTGAGAACCACTGGATCTTTCCTGCGTTTTCTTTCTCGTAAATTTAATTTACTATCCATATTGCTATATTATCAAGATATTATGTTTTTCAACTAAAAATTAAAACCAAAACCAGTTTTTTAAGAAATTCTAAAATTAAAAAAAAATCGCGAAACAAACCTCATAGTCGTGTTTCTGGGGTCGAATTATACTACCCATAAAAATATTTGCCCACTTATTTAAGACTCTCTCTGTATAAACGCTATTTTGACTCCCAATTTCAGCTGAATAAAAACTATAAATTCTGTGGCGAAGCAAGTTTTAATCGATTAGTTTACTAATTGCTGAAAGTATTTTACGTGGAGAAAACAACTGCATATAAATTTTTGCATGCAGTTGTTAATGTTCCGTAGCCGGTTGTTCTAAATTGGATCCAGTCCAACCTAATATACAACGAAACATATTTGTTATACTTTTTTTGCTTTAATCGTAGATTGCAAATGTTCGTGCCAAAGTAAGGGAAGAATGAAATGTAATCACTCAATTATTTTAGTATTGCGTTTTTGTAAAATATTTTATGTGGATTACACATTTACATTTCCCTCTAGAAGTAGGAGTCATATTGACATCAAAATCAAATTTCTCTTCTCAAAAAACTCCCAGACATACATTTTTATCCAAATATTGACGTTACTTCAGAAATTATTTAGAAAAAAATCGAAAAAAAATGAAACTTTTACACCCTGTATCAGCAGTATATGCTGCCGAAGTTTCCAGAATACAGTTCGGACCATCCTGAATAGCAAAGGATCGCTGTATTTGACATATTATTTGTGTTTTAGGGTACGACTCGCCGGAAAAGACGATCTTGCTGTACAACGGATTCAGCGGCTGGGGCCAGAAAAAGGGCAGTGCAGCATTTCACGAATGCCCTATCAGTAGATGCACTTTGACTGCGGATAGGAGCAGGGCTTCCGATGCAGACGCAATTCTGTTTAAAGACAGAGTTGTTCAGCCTCCGGTGGACAGGCCTATGAAACAGGTAATGAAGGCATGATTTATGTAATAAACAAATCGCTAGACGCTTTGTATTTCATGGGATGAGAGGCATTCTAAAATTGTCATTTTTATACAACAAATATGTTATTATCTTTGAAAAAGAAGAGTGAGGAATTCTACAATAATGAACAAACTTATTGCAAACGCTACTCCATCTCGTATCAAAAATAGTTCATATCATTCCAATCTGTCCTTATTCATTAACTGATTCTATTATTTTAGGTGTGGATATTATATCACTTGGAGTGTCCGTACCATACGCAAAGCGTCAAAATCCCGGATTCGATAAACTGGACCTCAACATACAGGAGAGACAGCGATATCGTAGCTCCATACGAATATTGGATGTACTACGATCCAGAGGTAAAGCCCTTGCTGTTATTATTACTTTATTATGATAATTCGTTTAGAAAATTAAACTTTTCTTTTGCAAACAAATTTCACTTTTAAAACTTAAAGTAAAGGTGGGTTTATATGTATCCGTCATGCGTCGTTCGTCGTTCCGTCACATCAATCGTGTTGAGGTAGTAGCTGTCATTTTTGAAATAAACCAATAAAATTCTATAAAATCAACGACGGACGATAAAAAACGGATGCATATAAACCTGCACTAAGTTTTCATTGGTACTGTGTTTTTTTATTTTTTAAGTGAACAAAAAATACCGTATTATTATAAGTAAAAAAAAAGCTGATTTACAGAATACTAGCAACTCACGGCGTGTTTGACCCCCCCCCCCTCCCTCCTTACCACAGACTAACTTATACCATGCTGGCAACTCTTACTGTGCTGTTGCGGCGTTGCCACATTTCTCCGGTACGCCTTTCCCTATCAAGTAAAGTAAAATCACGACCGTAAACCGCTTATTTTTAACCGCTTTTGTTTCGAAAAGATAACTAGATTATCATTATATATATCTCTGAGCATCTGAAATGGAATTATAGGGTGTCCATTTTTTTATAACGAGAAAACGTCAGTAATCGCCATAATTTAAAAATTCAACTTTTTAACACATAACACGCGATAACTCAAGAACCACTTTAGATATTGAAACTTTTTTTTTATTTTGAAATTCGGGTCTTTTAAAAGATGTTTAAATAAGAAAAATTCAATAATCTTGTTTTTTCCATTCAAAAATTTTAAAAAACCATCCATTTAGTTTTAGTGCATAGTTATTTTCAGCAATCGTAACTTTTTTATTTATAAAGATTTTCACATACTGTACGAAGAAAATATAGCAGAAACATTAAGAAAGTTTTTGGAAAAAACTACAATCAATTACTTCTAATGGATTTCGAGATATTGATTTTTGAATTCAGAGTTCTAATAGCGCGATCACCGTCGAACACCAACTCAATTCCACTTATTTTTACCAAAAGTGCAAGTGTTTCTAACTTGCACTTAAAAATTTACAAGCTATAGGGAAAATTACAACAACTCGTTAATGAATAAACAAGTAAAGTATCACGAGACGTAATTAAATCGTGAAGCTGAACGCATGATATACACCCTGTCCTAGAAAGTACTGATTGGGAATTGGGACCGCAACGAATCTGCTTTATCCCCGTCCACGTCTCTTAGCAATGTGCACAGTTTTTTGGTTTATTTCATACGTTTGGCAACGTTTTTACTGTTCTCTCTTTGTTCAGTACATTATAAAGGCATTGTACTCTTCTTACATACGGAAATCTCGACCCAAAACTAACCTTTGCCAGCCTTTAGTAGATGTGGCACTTATTTTATCTTGCTGTCAAATGCCGCCGTGATTTCGGACCTTTAATACCGCTATGACGTTGTCAGACTTCGTTTTTTTTGTAGCGATTTATCATACGCATGCGCTTTGTATTCGGTAACTTTAAATAGGATATTTTTTATGTATTTTTTACATTGTATATTTTTGATTTGTTTCTTACTAGTTAGCGAATATTTCTATCACCTGAAAAGTGGTATTCTTCTTGCAGGTAAAGACGCAAGTACAAGACAGAGACTACGGAGTAAATAAGACTAAAAAAGTGGCTTGGTTTGTATCGAACTGCGGTGCCAGAAACAATAGGTTACAATACGCCGAAGAATTAGGAAAATACATAGAAGTGGACATTTACGGATTCTGCGGAAACCTAAAGTGTCCCCGATCGGAGGACCAGAAGTGTTTCAATTTGCTGAAGACTGACTACAAATTTTACTTGGCGTTCGAGAATTCCAATTGCAGAGACTACATCACAGAGAAATTCTTTGTCAATGGACTGAGATATGACGTTATACCCATAGTGATGGGTGCACGACCTGAAGAATATCAGAAAGTAGCACCAGAAGGTAATAAATTATTTTTCTTGTTACATCACTCAAAAACTATAAAGCATTTTATAATTTTTTTATCAATATTCATTACAATTTTTAAAAATTAAATAAAATTATGCACACTATAATAAAAATAAATCATTTTAAGTCAACGTCTGCGTTTTGCTGTCAGGGCTTACAGTGATTTCGAACTGCAGCCCTCAGCCATATAATTGCCTATAGACTTCGCAAATATATATCTATATGATAGCTAAGATGATAGTATCTCCTATTCACATGATATCCGATCTTATCCGGCCTCTAATAGGTGTGAATTAACAATATAAAGATGCTCTGCTGATATTTAGCATCCCAAATTCATAACTTTGCGCAATATGATTGTCATTTTATATTTCAACTTATCCAAAAATCAGTAGATTGTGAATTATTATAGGTACTAAATTAATGGGGAAATCTGCTGAAACAAATATTATAAATTGACAAACTTAATTGTACCGAGTGTTCCACAAAAAAAAATTGCTCTTAGCTGTATCTCGGAAAATACTAGTTGTAGGGCCTGTGAAAAAAATGGGCAATAATACATATGAAGTATCGGGTAATCATAGGCTATGATTATTTATTAACATGTAATATAGAAGAGTATATAAATATTTAGGAATATGTACAGGGTGACAATTTGAAAACGAACAGTATTTAATATTGCTTCTACCGATGATAGTATGAAAATTTGACGAAACACGTCAATTTACATATTAAGGGGGATAATTTTTGAGGCATTTGTTGTCGTGTTACTTTCAACCCCTTGACCCCCAGGGCACCTACCCCTAAAATTTTAAATGGCAACCCCTATTTCTTTTACCATTTTTGTGTTCCTTTTAAAATTCTACATAACGAGGGTCACAAGGCAGGACCTCATATGACTTTTTTAATATAATTTTATTATTTTTTAAAAAAAATTTAGCAATATTTTCACAAAAATAATTAAAAATATTTTATTTGGTAATAGAGCATTGATATTTCGGCTCAATAAGATAAAATAATAATTTAGTGTAAAATTAGGTATATTTTTTGGATTTCCTCAAAAATCCTATGATACGAGGTACTGCATTGTGACCCTCGATAAACTAATGATGAAATAATGCAGTTTATGTAGAATTTTATAAGGAACACAAAAATGGTAAAAGAAATAGGAGTTGCCATTTAAAATTTTAGGGGTAGGTGCCCTGGGGGTCAAGGGGTTGAAAGTAACACGACAACAAATGCCTCAAAAATTGTCCCCCTTGATATGTAAATTGACGTATTTCACCAAATTTTCGTACTATCATCGGTAGAGGCAATATTAAATACTGTTCGCTTTCAAATTGTCACCCTGTATGTATATTGTTGCAAGGGCTTGAGCTGGCTAACGTTGTAATAATCAGTGTTAGTGTGGTATCCTTGCTAGAAAAAAGTGGGCTATACAGACTGTGGAAGCAAAAAATATTTTTTTTGGCTTCTAACAAGCTGTCGCCATACACTTAAAACTTGTGTTAATTAAAATTGTTTTTTGTTTATGAGGGATAAAGGACAAATGTACATTTCGATTCGCGAAATATTTCTATTGCATCATACAGAATATTCTAACGAACTAAAAATTAACGTACGACTGTAATAAATTTATTCGATAATCCCCACTGTTAAGATAAAATTACACACGTTGTCTGAATAAGATTCAATAAGATAATCGTCTATCTATGGATACATAATTATTTTATACATTCATATAAAATATAAAATTTCGCAGAATGGATCTTCTAGTATTTACTAAATTTTTTGTCTCTTGTAAACAAACTCCACATTGCATAGTTTTTGAGAAACAAAAAAAGGGTTTTTTTTCCTAAGGAGACCTACAAGATATACAGAGAGTTAAAATATTTCTTGGACTGTGGAGGTAAATCGTGTCCAATGAACTTATTTTGATTCCAAAAATACGTATCAGTTTTATGTCCACAAAATATTGGAACACCCTGTATATTACAGAGTTGTATATAATTATTTTTTCATAAACCGTACAAAATAATATTTAATAATTCCAGGTTCTTACATTCACGTGGAGGAATTCGCTGGCCCTCAAGAACTAGCAGAATACCTGCATCGCCTGGATAGGGACACTGCCCTGTACAATTCATACTTCAAATGGAAGGGCACGGGTCAACTGATCAACACGTACTTCTGGTGCAGATTATGTACAATGGTACATGCTCCGTTTGGAAACAAGCATTACGAGGACATAAACGAGTGGTGGAGAGGACCTGGTATATGCACAAGTAAATCGTGGAGAAGTTCCGAATTTGTTTAAGAAATGTCATTTTGAATAGAGTATAGCCACAGGACAACTATTTATAGTAACAAAAAGTTTTATTTAATTATATATATCCTATACCTATTTCTAAATTTACGCCTTAGGAGCCTTAAGGATTACATTATACTTTTTTCGTAAAAAATGTTATGAAAATGCAATGTGGGCATCATGTTGGCAGCTAATATGAATATTTTTATCTTTTTTATTTTTACAATACTTGGCCTGTGGTTGACAAAGAGTTTTGTATGTACCTAGGATATTATTTTCCTAACCAAAGTCTCGTTTATATGAATACTTAAGACGGAATTGAATATCATAAATATAATACCAAAAGAAGGTGTTTAAAACAGAACATTTTAACACTTACACTTGTCTGTTTCATTTTACAAGTGTTTTCTCTTTTAACAAACCCAAAAATCAATATATTACAAAAATATTTTTAATTATCTAAGTATATCTTCGCTTTAAGGCACTACTTGACTAACTAGATTCTATGTTATCGATGTTAGAACTTACTTAGTGACGTAGTGAATTATTAGAAAATTAAAACCAAATTTATTTAGTGAAAATGTCAATTAGGAATAATCTTTTTCTATTTAAAAATTAAGTAATGTTGGGTCCAGACTTTTTAAGTATTATTTCTTTCAATAAGTATTTACATATTTAAATATGTTACAATACATCACTATAACGAATAAGTTGAAATATTGATTTAAAGGGCTTTTAATCAAATGTTAAAGTAGACATGGATGATCAGTAGGTTTTACGATAACTTATCTTAAAATATTATGTATGACTTCACACATCTTAAGTATACCATCCTGGATACTTCATCTGCTTGGTCTGTACTTTAATGCATGCGACAGAGATAAATATAAATGACCGGTTGACAGACAGAGAGACAAAATAAAAAGCAACAGACAGTGTTGCCAGTTTTTACGTGTGTAGGAAAATGTGTGTAAAAAAATAAATTATTTTAAAAACTTTCATGTATACCACTGAAATGAACATAATAGGATATCTAAGCTAAATATAATTTATTACAGCTGTAGTAAAATGAGTAACTAATTGTGAAAAATAAAGTACCAACCCTAGATGCAACATTTTTCATAAACGCCTATAATACCGCGTAGAAGAAATGTACCCAACTTTTATCTCTTTTTAATACATTTGATTTTCCATTAAGCTGTCTACATCACTGTCTTACATATTAAAATCCAGACCACGCTTTTACCGTGACCAGATTGGTATATGTCAGATGTCATACAAAGCATTCAAAATAATGTAACTAAATATTGAGGTCCTTTCTTGTACATTTGTGGTGAATGAACTGTCAAGTTTCTAAATTACAATTTATTCAATATTCAGCTAGATATTTTGGCAGTGACAGTTGTGCCTGTAATTTTAATTTACAGGTAAATTGTATTTTATGTCATTTATTGAATGTCGTTTGTCGATATTCTTATTCTTCCCGAGACAATACCTGTTGAATCGTATCTTCAATTATTATTTTTTTTTGTGAATGTCTAATAGACTTACACTACAAATACACATAATAAGGAAGTTATATGCATATTAGTCTGGCCAACGAGTCAGGAAAGATTTTGACAGACGATATCCAAAAATGACAGAGAACACAGTTTACCTGTGCATTAAAATGACATATATACTCAGTACTGTGATCACTGATTAATATTACTTAAATTTCACTATGTCTACTTGGTATAAAGGCCTACTATCTAAATATACGTTCCTATACAATAAACTTGATATATTTTTAAATTGATTGATCTATTTTAAAAGTGTAAGATCAAAAAATGAATTTAAAAGAAACAGTATCCAAAAAGTGTGGCGATGTGCAGTTGTTATAGTTTATTTTGGCATTATCTACTTCTTCATTTATAGATGTAATTCCCTTGTTATTGTAATTGTTAATTTGTTGTACATATACAAAAAAAATCTCGTCATGTAGTATCGTTTTAGGGTATACCAAAGTGTGCACAATAATTTTACAGTATTTTCTTTTTTTGTCGTCGGTGTATGAAAATAAAAATACTTCGGTATTTTTAGTTTAAAAACAAGACCTAATAGAAAAATGTAGCATAAATAATTATAACATACAGTGTTGTAAATTATAGTTAGCTAATCAGTGTCGTATCCATACAAAATAAATTATTTCTAACTACTTATATCTAAAAACTGGATACTATACTGATGTTAATTTATTAGTATTATTATTTTTCATTATACCGGGTGGTTTACTGAAGCATTGTGTCAAGAAATGTATTGGACAGTAATTTATTATTTTTGTTATATTAATTATAATGTTTCAAATACAAGAAAAATAAAACTTCATGAATAGCAATAAATATATAACAATATGAAGAACATAATTTATGTACAGTATGTCTCCGGATTGTTTTTACAAGAGGAAAAACTTTTTTATTATTGACATTTTGAGAAAAATACATTTTTCATTAAAAGAATTCGTTTCATTAGAACTTAGAAAAAATTCAATAATTTTTTCATGTTTTTTTAATTCTCTCTAAAACGGCATGGAGATTTGGAAAAGTATCAACTGGATTAACCATTTTAGAACAAGCAAACATTTTTATGAAGAATGCATTTTTCTCAAAATGTCAATAATAAAAGGCTTTCCTCTTGTAAAGACAATTTTTCATATAGACCAAAAAAAACATATTTAGATCTTATTTCGAATTTCGTTTTTTATTCACACTGAACATTATTTTAAAAACCACCTGGTATATTTGTCAAATCGTTCTGTGATATTATGTTGGGATTCACATAAAAAGGGATATATCTAATACATCCATTTACTGTACCTATAAGTTGATTTAATTTCCTTTACACTGTAAAACTTCACATAATTAAAAAAGGGCAGCCTAAAAAATGCAATTATATTAATTTAGTTTAATATTTTACTGATTTTCAGAGTTCTTAAACTACAAAACTAGTCGTAAATGTAAAAAAATCTATGGTAGATAACTTAAATCGTAAAATTATCTATGATAATCGGCATTAAACAAATCAATGTTGATCATTTCGCATGGTTAAAACAGAAACAATTTTAGCCGCTGCTTCTAAGAAGTCACCTAAGTGGCTGCACACTGTACTTAAAACTAACTTGTATTGTTGATTATTTGTAAATCAATAATAATTTATTAAGTTTTTATTATGTTGTTTTATTTTATATACCTATATATGTTGAAGAAATGATGAAAAACGTATTTTAGACCATAAATTACATAGATATACATTTTAGTCAGCATATCTGTAGCTAACATTAACTATAGTAGTAAATCATCATATATTCAAAATATTCTTCGTTCCTATTCAATCTGAAGATTTTATTGTCACTTTCAGAATACCAATGCTAAATGCATCACTATACATTATATGATACACGTTTTATATTATAATTCATCCAAAAATCAGTATATTATTCGGTATGTTAAATCAGTATATTCGTATTTACGGTCATTTCAAGATTCCCTAGACCCTAAATTCGTAACTTTGCATAATATGATTCCCGTTTTGTATTTTACTTTATTAAAAAAATGGTGTATGCACTATGTGCGAATATTTGAAGTTAAACTTCTTATTTCAGTCTGCCTGTCTGTCCTGGTACCTCTATCCACGTGCCTAGTTTGGTTCCAATCAACCCACAATTAAGAAAAATCCTGATGATTTCGATCATTTAGAGGCATCGGTTCGAAACGTCGCGACGAAACGACCCATATTTTTTCTTCAATATCAAATCGTTAGTCCTACCCTGATGAAGATGTAAACGAAACGTCGTATCTAACTTGGCAGGGTGGGGCCGTGTGCACCGTCGCTCATATAGCGTACCCACCAAATTTGGTCGCGATCGGACGACATCAATTTTTGACGTTTGTTACGTCAAAACAGTCACAATGACACGTGTCGTACATAGTAAAGTTAAGTTGGCCTTGCTCCAATCTATCGACATAACAAATTTCATTTAAATCGGACGATTTTTTTGATATGATTCATTGATGATGGTAACAGGTATTTAGAAATAATTTTATATAGGTAAAAATAAATAAAACACTCAAATAAATTCCTTTTGCTTTATTATGCGAATACACGATTAATGTATTGTTACGTAGCAAACACTAACAATATATAAACAAATTACAAAACCAAAATATACTCTTAGCACATTCTAAAATGAAATGTTTCAAATGATATGATTCGGGTCACGATGATGGGATGATTCGTAAATTTTAGACCAAAACTTAATTTAATATAATTAAAAACAAATCATCCGTTTTTATTTAATATGACATTATTAAATTTTGGTCTATTTTTTCGAGTATTTTGTCACAAGTCTATTTTGTACTTAGCACACAAGCTGCCGTACTAACTCGCCTAACTTAAGTCTCTAAACTAAACGCATTTTGTTGATATGTTCATATTACTAATCTAAAACTTCCTAAATACCTATTGGGATATTTGTTAGAGTTTTTTGTGACTCCCTGATATTAATAGCAGTGGTTATTTAATACTGATTCAAATATAAATTATATAAATATACTTATTTAGTCAAATTTCAATCTTTAGGGTGTATTTTTGCATTCTAATTTAAAGCCTCAATCTTTATATCATATAATAGAAATTACAGAAATTTTCACTATTTCGACATTTGACATTTGAAGTATGTTAACACTATGACTTAAATATGACATACTCAGTTAGTAATCACCCCAGCGCTATTTTCACCATTACTAACTCATTTGACAGCTAATGTGACATCCCACAATAGAAATAGTTACTGTCAAAGTTCTTATATTTTTTATTACTAATACTAAGATTGAAATTCAACTATACTTATAATTGTTTTTGTAAATGTTCTTTATAGTATATATTATATGTATCTGTTTAATTAAATAGCTAATTATTGCAGTAGGATTAAGGGAAACACCTTTACAAAAACAACAATAAGTTATTTTAAGTTAGCAACGCGACAGTATACGAGTATAAATTTCAACATTATTATAATTTCAGATATAACCCTCTCAAAATATAAATAAAAATTTACAGTAAGTAGTTCTCAAATTATAAGCATATATTGATAAAAAAGTTAAAATTGTTAATTATTGAAAGCTTTAAAAATATTACAAAAAGATAATCTTTGTCCCTGTATAATTATTATAGTGTGCTGCTTCAAAGTAATAGAATAAAATTACAATACAATATATTATGTCATGAAATAAATAATGATATAATGTGCGGTGATTTATTGTTGTTAATTGCGCAATTAAACGAAATTATTGTTAACGCGCTTCCTGCTTCCATTTTTCCTGAGGTTTAATAAATTTATTATTTATTTTTAATAAATTGCTAAGCCAGTATAAAAAAATAAATAAAACTAGTCGTTAAAAAAGGATTGTCTTTAAAGCAAAAGCTTAAATTAATTATGGAAGCACTAGATAATAATGAAAGTATACTAGTTACTTAAGTACAGGACTATGTCAATAAATTTTAATGATGTTTAAAATATGACTTATTGATTTTTTTCATGTTTTATTTTGAATGAGTATCAGAAATCTTTTAAATTACTATAGAAATATACATTAAAATAAACAATTTGGAAAAGTTAAGCAGTTTTGGAAGTCCATTTTGAATGTAGTACCTACTACTTTAAAATCAAATTTACAAAATTTATAAAAACTTATTGACTTACCTTCAGAGATGGGTAAAAATAAATGTAAAATGCTCAATCAGATTTAATGATAATAGATTACTATTACAGCAGTCCATAACCCAAGTGTAATCAATTACATAATACAATCGATGAAATAAAAACCAGATTATAGTGGGTATAGAAAAAACATTTCGGTTTTTAAGCTTTACTATGTGTAGTACAACAGCCCGACTCTACTTAACAAGCCGTGAACAAGGAAATCTGGCAGTCCATTGGCATGTTGCATGTTTTTGTAAATAAATCCGCATTTTTGAAAGAAAATATTGTTCAGTTAAAGACTAAAGTTGTGAAAAGTCTTACTGATGGATCAATGCAAAAGGTACCTACTAAAACTAGACTAAAGTTAAATACAGTGCCTTAGTATCTTTCCAAATTTGCCACATTACTTGTCAAAAACAGTTCCTGTTTCCCGAAAAAGTCCTGCTGGAAGAACCAAAGAAATGCAAGATCGAAGTGAGCAATTTAAGCATTTCTTTGGTTCTTTCAGCATGACTTTTTCGGGGAACAGAGACTGTTTTTGACAAGTAATGTGGCAATTTTTTTTTAGTTTTATGTGGCAAATATGAGCAAACCTTAAATTAATTTAAAAATACGCGCCTCGATAGCCGGTAAAACGGCCCGTCGCGCATTCGCGCTCGCTAGAAACCGATCTGAATCTCTTGCCGGTTGCGGCGTTGCCAAATGGTTGTTCACGGCTTGTTAAGTAGAGTCGGGCTGTGGTAGTACATATCTTTGTCCCTATGTAAGTATCTGTATAGTCGGTCCAATGACAGAAAGAATCACAGGTACCAATTGTTGTCTATCATTTCAATTCAAAGGTAGCTTGTATTTTGAATAGGAGTAGAAAATATTTTTTTATTACTGAAGAAAGCAGAGTCAATTCTTTCTGTAGGTAAATGCTTTAAAATAAATTACAGACAGCTGTCACTGTCAAGAACTTCCGCAATAAATATAGCGCAGCTCAAACTGAAATGATATCTCTACGCTTAGTATACTCTCTAATTACACCATCTCTGCGTAGTCCTTGTCTTAGGGTTTATATATTTTAAAAACATTCATTCAATTTATCAAGATGATAATAGCCTTAACTTCACAATGATATGAAATTTCGTTTATTTCTTTTTTTTTCGTAGTTACATCAGCAATATCTACAAGCTATCTTAGGTCTTCCAATGTTAGCTTAGCCTAAAAGCTCCTAACTATTTTTAATTTTATACATTGATTTCGTCCAGAGAAAACATTTTACTCACATGTAACCTTCGTCTTCACTTCATAAATTATTTTCAAGTATAAATATCTTTTTTTTTCAAATTTTTTATCTATAATTTCATAAAATTTAGCGTAGGTCTGCTGGTGGTGGTGGCTGGTTTACCCTACCTGGTATGTCCTGATTTAGTTGGGAGGCAGTGACGCTTCTGGTTTGCAGAGTTGCTGTAGGTGTTTCGTCGAGTAGCTGTCTCAGTCTTTGCAACTGGGCCTCTAACTGTCTGTTGTGGTCTTCTAGAATTTGCATACGAGCTTCCAGACGGCCTTTGTGTTGTCTCAGTAGTCTGGCTTCAGCCAAAACATCGTGATGAGGCTGCTGAGGAGGATGAGGATTGGCACCTCTCTGAAATATTGAAGATACATACCGTTAATATACGTTTGAATAAACGAAAATAAACAAGAACTTATAATTAACACAAAGAAAAGAGGTTGAAAAAAGATTTTGTAGAATATTCCAAATTTTAAATTTTGAGAATAAGAAAACTAAATTAAAAAAAAAACTTTTTCTAAAATCACAAATAAATCTGCCATACACAGGCATACAAAATCAATTCTGAATACCTGAAGTTGTTCGTATTCTGATCTCAGAGCCTGATTCTCCACCTCCAGTTCTCTGATCATTTCCTGAAGTTCAGCTCGTTGTTCTTCGTCGATGACCAGCATTAATTGCCCAGGACTAGCAGGTGCGCCCTCTAGCGAGTGACAGTAGTCCGCAATAAGTCTGTGTTCGTCATCTGGAGATGCGGCCCTCAGTTCCACTTCCGCCAATCGTGAAGCGTATATTTCCAACCTGTAATATAGTATTTTGACAGTTTAATGTCCTACTCAATCACACAAAATTAAAATAATTTAAAGCAAGGACATTTTTTCGGTATTCAACGTGAAACAAATTAATAAAGTTGATCATGTTTGAATTATTATATGCTGAATTTAAAAGTAACCTTTCAGTACAGTTATCTAAAAAATGTTATTTAGTAATGTTTAAAACTTGTTAAAAGCTTTTTATTTTTAATTCTATGTTAAAAACATTTAAGGAGATTGACTATACCGGGTGGCGTCTCGAAAGTGGTCCACTCTAATAACTTTTCTATTCTTTCAGATAAAAAAATGAGATTTGGTATGTTAATATATGACATAAATTAGGATTGATTGACGTATTCAATTGTTTTTGGTCACTTCCTGTTTCACCGGAAATTACTACAACTTTTAATCTTTAAATGGCACCCTCGGTATATTTCTACTTTATTCGATAGAAAATGACACTCTGAATGACATATCATATGACACTATCTATATATCGTCGACTAGAATGACATATCATATGTCAATTTTTGACATTTTAGCTTTAAAAAAATCGTATTTTAAATTTCAATCTAGAGCGCCATGGATGTGTTAAAAACACTAATTTTTAATCAAGGAGCCTTGGAAAAATAGATTTGATCGTCTAATGCTTTTCGTGTCTTGTTCTGGCCGGTTAAAAGATGCCCAAATCGTATTTTTAATCATATCTTATTTTTTTCAAAAGGAACAAGTGTAGGTCATTAGCATATTTGAAAAAAAATATTTTTTTACGAATAATTTGATACCACACACTTGGTATTTCGAGTCAAATTGTCGTTATGAACCGCATGTTACAATTTCAAATAAACCATATGCGAAAATGTCAAAAGTTGACATATGATATGTCATTCTATTCAGAGTGTCATTTTCTATATCAAATACAGAAAAAAAATCTCACTTAAAAATCAAAAGTTGTAGTCATTTTTGGTGAAACAGGAAGTGACCAAAAACAAATGAATATGTCAATTAATTCCAATTTATGTCATATACTAACATACCAAGTCTCGTTTTTTTATAGGGGTGAGCCACTTTTGAAACGCACCCGGTATATACCTCCCGAAATTTCAAGCATTTTTTTGTTGATTAGCTAAATTTGTTTTATTTTTCATTTTGTAAATTTTCTTCTAGTGGCGAAAATCCTAAAAGTATTAACTTTTCCAAAAGTTTTTTTATTTTAGTTTTAAAGAGTTTCAAAAATAATTATTAATGGTGTTTTAAAGATATTTAAAATTCTTGTTTTTAAACAAATACAAGAATATGGCGATTATTCATTCTGAAACGTAACAAACTGTATTACCTACATGCAATCTATTAAGTTTACCAAGTTACCTTGAATGCATATCATTATGTTGAGGCGAAGCCACTGGACTCTCCAACTCATCCCCTTCCAAAACCGACCTAACTGGAAGATATCCCATACGAGGGTGCTTCATAAAGTACCTTTTACTCTTAAACTTGTTCTTCAGAGCTTTCGTAAAATCTCTCATATCCTCGATAGAAGTCGTTGCGGCGCAATATTCGTGCATCGGATGGGTCAACTTGTGTCCCTTGGTCAACTTTCCGGAAAAGAAGCAGGTCTGACACATGTCGAAATTGAAGCACTTCAAGCAGCGGTATCGCAGACCGGTGATGGGATACTGCTTGCAGGAGTTGCATTTCGCTTGGTGACGTGCACTTTCCGCTGCTGCGATTCGGTGTAGAACCGGAAGCCAGACCAAGGATTGTGGCTCTTGTTTTAACCAGGCTAAGAAATGTGCTGCTTCTAAGTCTTCCCTCTCTCCTGTTGGGAATTAATTATTTTGCTTAATATCATGTTTATGATAATATATCAGTAATTACAAGATATGAGATTCGGTAAGCATCAAAAGGTTATTTTAAATTCGTTGATATCTATCAGAACGAAAAAGTTATGGTTGGTTAATTCTAGTGATGGGAAAAACCGATTAATTTCAATAATCGAGCACTCGACTTTCAAGCGATTTCAATAGTCGAGCGAAATATCGCTCGTATTTCAAAATACAGTTTTTCACCCGTCGCTTGTTGTACTGGTAACGTCAAGCAGTAAGTTGCGTGCGCAGAGCATATATTCTTTCGGTGATGAATGGCAAGTAGCAAGCGACGAGCGATTCGCTTGATCGCTTGATTTAGTTTATTCCAAAGCATTGTCGATGTAGGTCGTAAAATTTTGTCACTCGCATACGCAACGGATAACGTCGTATAACTTTGCTATCTGCAATGTATGTAAAAAATTTGCTAGGCTTTTTATAGAGTATGTCACATTAAAATTGGATTTCAATTTATTTCATTCTAGCATCGCTTGCGTTTGTCGCTCGTAGCTCGTCACTTGCATCGCTCATTCATAATCGAACGATGTCGGTTATTTCGATAATCGAGTACTCGAGCGAATTTTCATAATAAACGTCTTTGCGCTAATAACATAACCCCATGTTGCTATTTGTGTAGAGAAGACGCGTATCAATGACTAAAGAATATAAGGACATGTAACGCCCCTATACGGGCTGCAGCAGAATTTGTGACCTTACAGACCTTTCTTTTGGTGGCAAACAATGAGTCATCATTTGGTCACCAGCGACAATTTTAGCGATTTTTAATAGTTTGTGTGTAGTAAAGTTTGTATAAACTTTATTACAAAGGTGATTAGTTGTTCAGCTTTCAAATGTAAAAGCAGCAACGATAAGAAAGAGCCAGGAGTTACGTTTCATAGGTAAGTAAACAGTCCACTCCAACTTTTTAGCGTTTTCTTATTGAATTCCGATAATTATTTTTCAATTTCAATTAACATCTATATGTACTTGATATGTGCTATACGTCGATACTAGTTTTGTACTTGTTAACATTTTAATACGTTTTTTTCGTAATTAATTAGGATGATACACCATAGGCGTAGTCAAAACAATTATCAAAAAATATAAATATTGCTTCAAACAGCTAGGTTAAGAAAAATATGTGCCACGGCACTGTTTGGTGACATCGGCACAATTTGCTCTCGTGTGTTTATTTGTTCTTGGATTCTTTAGTCATTGATTGAGATACTATGCTTTTTAAATATAAACAAATGTCAACTTTTCTCTTAAATTTTACAGTTATGGTACAGTAAAGTAAAGAAACATTACAGTAAAAAAATTACATTACAGTTAAAGTACTTACCTAAACAACTTCTGACGCTGGGTTCAATATTAGACCCACCAAAAGCAGCGACCTCTCCAAGCTGTCTGGGTACCTGCAAAATATCATGTAGAAGCAGTCCCAGCTTCCTTTGATCAGCTTTTTGCTGGGGATCAGCAATCAGCCTAAATAAATATCTGTATTTGTCTTCCAAGTGACCTCTTGACAGCAATGTTAACCCAACCTGTATAAATAACTTTCAAATTAATATTTTTTTGAGTAAAAAGATTGTTTATCATGTACCTTAAAACTAAGTACTCTAAGTTGCCCTGTGCGCTGACTATCATAAACATTTAGCAGCCAGTTTAAAGCTAAATCTACACATAGTGGAACATCTATAATAGCTTGTTCTTGTGATGCGATATTTCCATAAATTGCTCTGAGAACTAGTATCATATCTGCCACATCTAGAAAAAAAATATATTAAAAATCATAATTCTGGGAAATTATTATCTTTCAGTAAACTAACCTAAAATTTTATCATTTTGTGCCCTCAATCCATGCAAATCAAAAGCTTCAGACACTGTACTAATATTGACAATGTCTAAACACAGCTTCTTTTGTATTGTCCGTAATTTTAAAGCTGTCCTGTACGCAGAATATCGAACTTCATTTAATTGTAACAAACATATGGCCAATTCCAACATTTGTGGATGATCCCAGTGTGTAGTTTCAGTGCTGTGGTTTATGTAGTATGGTACTTTGTTGGGTGTTGTAGCGCGTTCCCATGGTGGTTGGACACTGGAAGGTCCAGGTGATATTTCTCCTACAATAATGTACCATCAAGATTTTCAGTTCAATATACAGGGTTTAAAAAAAAAGTGTAGAAAAAATAAGGAGGTAAGGCCACAATAGTATGAACATAATATTTCAAAATGTTTACAAATGTTAAACCTTGAGATCTAAATAGAATTTTTAGGTAGAATTCTTATTTAAAAATTTTAATTTTAATTAAGAATATACAGTATCTTTTTGTCATAAATACAGCTGTCCTCAAGAATATTAAATCTGTCAGTTTTCTGAAGAGTAAATTTAATGACACAAAAAAATAAAAATAATTACCTTGAGAACTGCTAGTTAAAACTTCTCTCCTTTCCCTTATTGCAGCTTGTAATGCTCTACACCTGGCAGCACAGTCCTCCAATTGGCTAGCTAAATTATTGGGCAAAGCATTACTTAAACTTGTGGCCTGAATTCTAGCCTCCTCCAAAGACCTTTGAAGAGGGGGCAACTGTTGCTCCAAAATTCTCAAATTGCTCAGTAATTCTCTAGCCTCTGCTGCACTTCTTGGACCACTCCAAGTTAATGTAGCTCTTTCCAAACGTGAGACTGCTGAACAAGCCTCTTCCAGATTGAGGGTCAGCTGCTTGAGTTTCTGTTAGAAATAAATTTTGTAAACTTGTACTAAGTAATAGAAAAATGTATTTCTTACAATAGAGTTTTGTTCAAATTTAGCTGCTAATTTATCAGATTTGTCAATGAGAGCATTCCATTTATCGGAAAGCTTAACAAGTTCTCTCCTCAAGTTTCTAGCTAATTCTCCTGATGGATCACCTGCAACAAACTGCCTAGCACTTCTTAAACTGGCTTCAACCAAGGGTCTCTTGTCCTCAAGTTGTTGTCTACAATTTATAAAAAAAAAATAAATATTAAACTACCAGAAAAAGAATAATTTCTTTGCCTAAAAGCCCTGTGATCGTCTTGTCTAGCAGCTAAACCAAGTTCAGTATCTTTTCTGATAACCCATTCTGTGAGTTCTCTTAGTGATAATAATACTGTGTTCCAATAATCAGCATTGTGCTCTAAACGGTTCCTTAGGTCAGCTGTATGAGTTTTTAGAGCCTAGACATTGAATTAATTAACATATAAATTTTACATTATCTTTATAGGTTACAGTTTTTTAATACCTGCCACCTTCTCTCCATCTCATCTCCACGCAATTGTACCATAAGAGCATCTTCAGGAGATAAAGTACCTAAAAGAGCTAAATTCGATGATCTTAAAGCAGCATGAGTTGGTGCTTGTCGTTCAATATCAGCTTGAATTTCTTTAAGCTGATGGGCGGCTCTTCTTGATTCTGTATCCCCTTCCAAGGTTTCCACAACAGATTCAACTTCACTAAGCCATGCTAAGAATTTATCTAATGATCTATCAAAGTTTTGTAGTGAGCTTAAAGCTGAATGTAATAGTTTTCCGCGATTAACAATACAAGCATCTAAGCGTAAGTAATGTTGATTGATATATTCAGCTGCCTACAAAATTATGCCAGAATAGATATTATTTTATCTATGGAAATATTAATTACACAACCTTTTTGTAGCGACTTATATCTTCATGTTGATGTGCAGTAATCAGTCTTTGAGTAATTTGTTGAAATGACTCTATTTGTGCTTTAAATTGATGCAATTCGGCATGTAAACCTTTTTGTTCCCTTATCTGTAACTCTAAAACATCAGCTGTATGACCCACTGGAGCAATACTGGCAATTCTTGATTCCATCCTTTGTAGCCATACCTATTTTATTTAACAATAAAATTAACTCAGTTAAAATAATAGAAGCTAGAAAACTGTAATTTTAAAGGGTTAAATTTAGTTGTAATGCAAAACTGTGTCAACTCATATTTTAATTAATTCATTAGTGTCATTCTTAAAACACTTTAATTAATTCTGCAAGCGTAATAGTTATGTAATTTAATTTAAAACTCAACTCAACTTTGTGAATAATTTTAATACAGGATATCTATAAATAATACATTACCTCCAGATCTAACTTTTTCTGTTCAAAACTCTCTTCCTTCTTCTGCATCTTTGATGTTTTATAGATATTTTCGAACTCTTATAATATAAGGAATAAATTAATCATCACTAGATTTTTTCATTTTCATAGATTTATAGGCGTTTAAACAGATCAATGTTTACAGCCTTTAAGGTAAATGACCGCGCATCTTAATATCGAATCACGCCCTTTAACTATATCCTGCAAGTTTATCATGAATAAATATAAGCTCACATTTGTGTTCTTTAAATTAATGCATAAACTTTATGTTGACTTCATAGCTATTTTTATAAGCATTTATAAATATAATTTTCAAACCACCAAAACAAAACACTACTAGCCAAAAAATGACAGAAATTTTGACAACTCACTTCTTCTTTTTATATATTTTATGGGCCTAAGCTGCTAGGACCGCAATTATCAGCCTTGCATCATATATAAATCATAAAATAATGACATTTCATAGTCCAATTGGCTTAATTTTGAACTACCAGAGCAAAAACCAAACTATTCTAAAAGACGAATTTTGTGTCATTTGGAAGTAACCCTACTTTTATGCCTTACATAACCTTAGATTTTACGACAAAATCTTTACTCTTCCTTAAATATGACTGTTTTTAATATTCTAAGAGCTTTAAAAACCGTCTCTAGACAGTCATTGCACACAAACAGTATTATAATAGTAAGTATTATATATTTTTAAACTCTCACTTTTATTTTGTATATGTAAAAATTTTAGTGTCCAGTAAGGTCTATGTCAAGCAATGCAAAGTTTGCAGACCACAAAGATATCACAAAAATAAGAAATATTGGAATATCCGCTCACATAGATTCTGGAAAAACTACATTAACTGAAAGAATTTTATTCTATACTGGTCGCATAGATTCTATGCATGAAGTTAGAGGTAAAGACAATGTTGGGGCAACGATGGACTCTATGGAACTTGAAAGGCAAAGGGGAATAACTATTCAGTCTGCCGCTACATACACTCTTTGGAAGGATCACAATATTAATATAATTGATACACCGGGTCATGTAGATTTTACTGTTGAAGTAGAAAGAGCTCTTAGGGTATTAGATGGTGCTGTCTTAGTTTTATGTGCGGTTGGCGGAGTACAGAGTCAGTCATTGACGGTAAATAGGCAAATGAAGAGATACAATGTTCCTTGTATAGCTTTCATTAATAAATTAGACAGAATGGGAGCAAATCCAAATAGAGTATTGTCTCAAATGAGGTAGGTCAAAGAAATACAATAAAAAAATACTTGAAAGTTTTTTTTGTAGGTCAAAACTTCGCCACAATGCTGCATTTATTCAGTTGCCTATTGGTTTGGAAAGTGACTGTAAAGGTATAATAGATATTGTAACTCAAAAAGCGATTTATTTTGATGGAGATTATGGAGACCAACTGCGGTATGAGGACATTCCTGCTGATATGAAAACAGAAGTTAAAGAGAGACGCCATGAGCTCATAGAGCACCTCTCAAATGTTGATGACGTTTTGGGTGAATTGTATTTAGAGGAAAAAGAAATAACTGAATCAGATATTAAAGGTGCTATAAGAAGGACATGCTTAAAGAGAACTTTTACCCCAGTTATGACAGGCACAGCATTGAAAAACAAGGGTGTACAGCCACTTTTAGATGCCATTCTCGATTATTTACCAAACCCTGGAGAAGTAGAGAACTATGCTATTAAGGAAACTGCAGAAGACTCAGAACCAGAAAAAGTTTTATTGGATCCGGCACGTTCTAATGATAAACCATTTGTGGCTTTAGCTTTCAAATTAGAAGCTGGAAGATTTGGCCAGTTAACATATATGAGATGCTATCAAGGCCAGTTATCAAAAGGAGACACAATCTTTAATGCTCGTACCCAAAGAAAAATTAGAATTGCTAGGTTAGTCAGAATGCATTCAAATCAAATGGAGGATGTTACTGAGGTTTATGCTGGCGATATTTTTGCCTTGTTTGGAGTGGATTGTGCTAGTGGAGACACATTTGTAACAGATCTGAAACATCACTTATCATTAGAGTCAATATTTGTGCCTGAACCTGTCGTTTCAATGGCTATTAGCCCTGTAAATAGTAAGGACAGAGACAATTTTTCAAAAGCCATAGCTCGTTTCACTAAGGAAGACCCCACGTTCCACTTTTATTTCGATAGTGACAATAAAGAAACTCTTGTGTCTGGAATGGGTGAATTACATTTGGAAATCTATGCTCAAAGAATGGAAAGGGAATACAATTGTCCAGTACTCTTGGGAAAGCCCAAAGTGGCATTCAGGGAAACCCTTGTATCATCATGTGAATTTGATTATCTGCATAGGAAGCAGACAGGTGGACAAGGACAGTATGCCAGAGTTATAGGTGTATTGGAACCATTACCCGCGCATAAGAACACTGTGTTAGAATTTGTTGATGAAACAGTTGGTACTAACGTACCTAGGCAGTTCGTTCCTGGAGTACAAAGAGGATTTTTGACGATGGCGGAAAAAGGTTTGTTGGCAGGACAGAAATTGGCCGGTGTAAAGTTCAGACTCCTTGATGGTGATCATCATATTGTGGATTCCAGCGAATTGGCGTTCTTTTTAGCTGCTCAGGGAGCTCTTAAAGAAGGTAAGAGATATATGTCACATTTATTAAATAAATTTCAAATTTTGATAAACCAACATTGTAAATTGTAAAGTGTAAAAGTAAGTAAAAAAATATCTCAGTATACACACTGACACGCTGAGTCACTCTATAAAAAGGACTCAAATGTTCAATAACTTTGTATCACCCAGTATTGTAGTAATTTTATTTGTTTTAACGATGAATTTTTTTAGTGTTTGAAAAAGGCAGCTGGCAAATTTTGGAACCAATTATGACTGTGGAAATAAATGCCCCCGATGAGTTCCAAGGTGCGGTGATGACCCAACTAAATAAAAGGCACGGTATAATTACTGGTGTAGAAGGAACTGAAGGCTGGTTTACACTCCACGCGGAAGTTCCCTTAAACGAAATGTTTGGATACGTTGGAGAGCTAAGGTCGAGTACACAGGGCAAGGGAGAATATACAATGGAATATAGTAGATACACACCATGTTTACCAGAAGTTCAAGAACAACTGATACTCAATTACCAAAAAGCCACAGGTCAGATACAAGAGAAAGATCAGAAAAAGAAAAGAAATTAATATTAAATATAAATAGTATATAATTTGTATGATATTTAAGTTCAAAGAGGAATGTATGATGTGTTAAAGATTGGTTCTTAAATTATTGACAGTTATTTTGTTATTAAACAGTAAATAACAAAATAACTGAAAAAAAATTTACTTTTTTATTGGCAATGTATATAAATATGTCGTTTTTGTATATCATTTATGAAATAAAAATAATAGAAAATTATTTTTTGTAATATTTTGCAAGGCAATATAATATATAGGGTGAGTCAACGATAGAGCAAAATTCATTACCTATATCATTTTTTTGTAACATAAGAAAAATGTATTAGTTAAAACCTTGTTAAAACAAATTGCCTGTTAAAAAATAAGTATTGCAAAAAATTGTCTGAAAAACTAAAAGATTAATTTTGTTAGAAACATATTGACAATTATTTACAACAATTATTGTATCATGAATAACAATCAAGAAAAAAAATGGAAAGCAAAAAAAGCAGTGATGTACGTAAATATCTACTGTAAGTACTGACGATAAATCCGATTTTTTAAAATCCAAAACACCCTGTGGAGCAGAAAAAAAGTACCCCCTCCTAAACATTCTACATTTTAGATCATTTATTCTGATTGATTTTACCTTATTGGCGTTTTTTTTATCATATGGTGTATAGATATAGTTGGTTTGCGGTTCTTGAAACCTTTTTTCCCTGGTTTGAGGGCAAAACAGAGCTAAGAAACAGAGTCCCAGGACTGCAGGAGAAAATTAATAAAATTTATCCTGTATACAAATACGTTTAAAATAAAGATTATTTAAACGTATTTGCCTGTATATCTCTGCTGTATACAAATACGTTTAAATTTAAACGTATTTGGCTGCATACATATAGACTTAAAATAAAATATATGATTTTTTATAGGCAACCAGTTATTCATTAATATTCTTGCGCCTTATGTCAAATCAGACATAACGCGCATTGTCATTTGTCAAGTTATTTTTGTCATTTTCAACTTGCACGTAGAGCAGGCGGTTCGCTGCGGTGTGAGATCTCTAGATCGGTCCGTTTCAATGCAACACAGTCGGTGATAATTTTCGCGTTTTGTTTATAAAAAAATCGAATGCATTGTTTAAAAGTTCGAGTGCAACAAAGTAGCGCGCTGTGTCTGTGAAATGCACGATGGCAGTGTTGGTTCCTCACATAAACGGACACATTCAAAACCATTTGACCAGATCGCTGGAGAGAATATTGGAAGAGGCAAACCAAAGTGGCGAGCTAAAATTGAGCAACAGGAAACTTAAGGACTTTCCCAAGGCGAAGGATAAATATAATTTGAGCGATACAGTTATTGCAGGTATGATTCATTAAGATATTTGTTTGTATACATCTACGGTCTGCAATAGATACAGTTACATTATTATGATATAATAAAACAGATGTTTTAATGGGTATAGCAGGGATAAAATGCTAGATATGATCTAATAAAATACCAAAATAGCTGTTCAGCTCAAAATATTTATGAGAAAAATTTATTGTCAACAGAGGTGGTCATTTGATTCTTTCAATCGGTTAACTTCAGTTTTATTTGAATATTCGAACCGACTTTTGTATTTAAGTAAGCACATGCATATTTATTTAAGTGATAATTCAAAGTTTAATATATTAATTAGGTTAAATATACAGAATCAAAACAATGAACACATTTGTTTAAAATTTCCAACATATTGCTTATAAAATAGACCAAAATAGTGTGTTGGTTGTACACAACTGGCCTTTTACTGAAGTAGATACCCATTAATTATTAATACATTAAAATAGTTAGGTACTTAGTAATGTTGCTAACAGCACTGGATTGAGTATCTAAGTACCTATATTTATTTGAAGTCCCTAGTTCTTATTTATACTCATGCTTTTTTTAATTATGTTATTTATAAAATCTGTGATAAATCATCATTTACACATTTTTATTCAAAATTTAGACCTCTTAAAGAATACCACCGACAATACCATATACCTACATAATTTCTTTTGGAAAAATTAACAATAATAAACAATGCGGTCAAAGATTAGGATCACAAGAGTGCTTTGTACCGTATGATCGAATAAAAACGGCGTCAGCGATGGCTATGAAATGAAGATCGCTGTCATTTTATATGTAAATTTATATGGGAAATGTCATCGATCGTCATTTCCCAGCCAACTGGACGCCGTTTTTATTCGATCATACGGTATTATGTCAGATAAACAAAATTCTTGTAGGAAATCACATTTGAATATTTTTATCTGTCAAAGTCTTCCTCAAAGTACACTTGAATCTTGATCATAAAACGTTTTAATTGTATGGTATATTTTTTATTATGAAATTTTTGTATAAAAAGGTGATAATTGGGTTTATCTCAAAATCTAACACCTGTTAAATTCTTTTTTATTCGTTATTCTGTTAATGTGTGTATGTTATAACAATGATTTAACAGCCTGCTACAATATTAAAACATTGTGCCCGATAATATAACGTGTGAAAGAAGATTTATGTACAAAAAGGTATAATGCTTTTGCTTAATTACATTTAATGCTGTTTTGTACAACGAAGAGCTTAGTAATTTCACTAATTGCAAATTATCAAGAATAGTAGTAATTTATTGTGAATTTCCTGGACATTTATTTACCTTTTCAGATCTTTTTATAAATTAATAGTTTGTCTGTTGTATCTCGACCTGTCTGCCTATGCTTTTTTTAATAAATGGTTCTACTGTAGTAGACCTATTTAACCAATTATTATTATCAAAACAAAATCTAGCATTTTATTAATACAAAGCAATATTACATAATTGTCCGCTTTTTTATTTCGATTATTCAGTATTAAAAAAATATTATAACAGTGCCGTTAACTGGTTATATAATAGGTAAATAATAAATTTAAATGATTCTTCTAATAATAGAGCTTCGCTATTTGATACTAAATATTTATTTATGTTAATGTAGTCGTTTTTGAACTTCCGAAAAATTATGAGAACTACTATTTTGACACTAATAAATCGAAGTTTTTATAGTTCCGGAATAGCCCACACAACAACCTACGTCCAATTATTACGAAAAAGGCCTTAACAGTCGGGGATCTTGTCCCCTCGCGTTGGCCAAGGTTATGATGTGTCTCCTTGTTCACGGGTCGTATTGATCCCCCAGATATTCCCCCTAAATTTAGGGTTCCAACTCCAGAAAACACAACAGACCAAGTAATTGAAAAGGGCCCACTGCCTAACAACGAAGACTGAACATACGACTATACAGGGTGTCAAAAAAATAAAAAAAAACACTTATCAATAAATCAAAATTAAATGAATGAGACAAATTAACTAATAATAAAAAGACACAATAGGTACATAAAAATGAAAAAAAAAACACTTTCAGGCTAAACAAATACAGGGTGAGTTTTCTACGATGTTCTCTATGGGTATCTCGGAAACTACTAGAGATAGAGAGTCGGTTAAATGGGGAAAGAATTGCAGTTTTGTGGGCTCATAAATTTTAATATGCGCTTTTCAGATTTTTGAAAAAGTTCATGGCTTACTAGATATTTCGAAAAAAACAGATTTCGGCTATTTTAAAAATTGTCCCTATTTCCATTATAATCTATTTCAGACAAAAAGTTTTCAGATAAAAGTTGTAGATAATCACATCCCTAATGAGTTTGTGTTCTCCAATTTTTTAAGCCACGAACTTTTTCAAAAATCCGAATGACCCCTCAAAACTGCAATTCTATCCCCATTTAACCGACTCTCTATCTCCAGTAGTTTCCGAGATACCTATAGAGAACATCGTAGGAAACTCACTCTGTATAGATCCACCAGTTGGAGTTTAAACCATAGACAAAGGTTTAAACTATAGATTGCAGTTTACTGGCTTTGCAATTTTTAGGCTTGGAAATCTTAAGATTAACTACTACCTGAAAATTACCTATAAAACTGGCCGACTGACTATAAAATATTTTGATTAATTTTAAAAGCTATCTATTGTCATGTTATAAAGTGCATTTCAGAGTTTCCTGCATCTAAAACCGATCATCGGAATGCCGTTATTCAAGGGCATGCTACCATTTCGAGCAAAAATGTTCGCCAATTGTTTTAAATTATTTTTTAATTAGTAAAATCGATCACGCATTTAATTCCTTCACAATGGAATCGTATTGGGCAAGCAAGTACTCAGTGCCATTATTATCTATCGCTATTATACAACGATTTATTAGAAAGTACGTAGATAAGCCGGTGGTACCGGCCGTATTTTATGGATAAAATCTAGGTAATGGTACAACGTTCCTTATGAGTAATAAATTTTATGTTGCAGTTCTTATATTGTCGCGTTGTGAAATGGCGACTTATAATAGGCACCTATCTACCTAGAGATAAAAGAGTTAAAGCTCTGAAATTACAAAATTTCGTCAAATTTGTTCATTGATATGGTGTAAAATTCGTTTAATCATAAATAAATATAATTTGGCAGGTTGTGAAATTTTAATTTTATCTCAGCTTTGCTCTGTATTGTATAGTATACGCTGTTCATTCAGGAAAGTGTGTTAATAATGATAACATTAGTTTGTTTGTTTTACATTTTTATAGGGTTTTCTGAAATTAGTGTGGAAATCGTGGAAATCATGGACATATGTAAACATAGATGCATACGTATCATAAAATTTGCTATTTAACTAAGTTTATCAGAACGTCGATGATTCTAATAGACGTGTATGTTCTAAAGCCGGTCCCACACGATGTGGCAAACACCTTCTAACGTTGGACACATGAACATTTGCCACATTGTGTAGGAGACACTCTTGTCAATTGCAATATTGTCGAAATATATGCCAAACAATGCAGTTCAACGTTGGTTCCAACGTTGGAACCAATCCAACGGTGGTTCCAACGCTGGTTCCAACGTTGGACGCATCGTGTAGGACTGTCTTAAAACACTAGTCTTTTGGTTGTAGATATATTTAGATATTTTAGATAGTCTAAGGTTTTTCTTTATTATTTTTGTTTTTTGCTTCTGGCGAAGGAGGGAAATGTATAAGTAAGTATTTCTCTGAAATACCTCAAGTCCAAGGAGGCAATTGAGAAAGGTGGATATATCCTCTATTATAGATTCGGGATAATACCGGTATCAGGTCTAAGGAGAGACCAAGTTAAAGAGGTGGAGAAAATGGAGAGAGATCCTCCAGCCTCCACCTCACGGGTTCCTCAGC